CATATTTCCGGTTAACAATTTCGGTGTCAACCTTAGCTCTTGCATAAAGTATTCCTCCTTTTTCGACATTGGAGCCAAACAAGTTCCCACGGCAAGTTTCTCCACATATTTCTAAAATATATCCTTAAATACGAAGTTAAAGCTACTCATAAATAAGTTTAAAAGTCTTAAGCCCGTGGTCCGACGCTGAAACAGATCATGGATGCCATGGACTCCGGACAAGATGCGTCTCTCCATGTCTCCCCGACAATACGATCAAGTCATGAAAACGAGGTCAAACCACTTCATTTAACGAAAAGAGACCGCAGTAACACTAAAGGCCACACCATCTTGGTCTTCACACCTTTGATTAAATAGCCTTAGACCTCAGCTTTTGCTTAGATTTGCCACCTCGATAATAGCTGGGTGGGTTCTCTAGCTTGAATAGCTCCCTGAACTGGAATATTGGCATAATCTGATAAAGCATTGATACTTACCAAAAGGTCATTCTCACCAGTTATTTGCTGATTTACTAATTTAACAATCCCCCATGAATTCTTAATTGAATATAGCGTGTATTCAGTCACTTTCTACTGATTTCTGCATAAGAATCGTGAAATCTTGTGCATTACGTTTATTATTATTAACAATCATTCTTACAGGCCTGACTGGGACATATTAAGTATGCATACTTTGGACATAGAGTTGTTTCAGCTTAAACAGTAGTAATATTATTATTTGTTGTGTTGTTATTTGTTGGTCAAGTCTTTTTATTTTTGGTAAAAATGGATTGGATATGAATAGTAATATTATTTTGAGGTTGGCTGATTATGTGTATTTTTTATTTTGTGTTGCTAGTTTTTGTGTTTTTTTGTATTAGTTTTGTTGGTAGAATGAAGGAAAGATTTGTTCGCTAAATATTGACTTAGTATATATTTTTAGTACGTAAATTTGTAAATTTTAAAGAGAAAGAAGTAATCAGTCAAGAAAGGAAAGAAATACATGCGTAGCAGTTTATTGTTTTTAGGGGCATAAGGGGGGAGAATATTGGGAAGTATAATATATAATAAATATAATATATATAATAGTATATTATATAATAATGTATCTTATATTCCCCCCTTATAGGGAATAGATACTATTATTAAATGTATAGTAGTTCTTTTGAGCCTCGCTTCTGCTGATATCATATTTTATTCGTAAAAAGAAAAGGGTGAAAGATACAGAATGACAGGGAATCCCTCATTGTGAAGTGTTTAGAAGGGCTGGGCTAGATTTATATACAGAATATTGGACACCTGAGAGAATGAGTGTAAGCATAGATTGGTTAGCACTAGAATGGCAATAAGAAATCAGGTTAAAGTATGAAAGTTATCGGCAAATCCTGTAGGACGTATGATTATACAATTTCTTCCTCAGACGTAGCTTCATCCAACCGCACTCATGCTCAATGTTACGTAGTCCAAGTCAATTCGTTTTCGAATAAACTGAATAATCATTTTTTTCAACTCTACCGAACGCTTCTTTACGAGCGACACGAGGAGAACATCTTTACAAATTGCCAGGATGCATATTTTCTGATTTACCATAGTTGTTGGGCCAGGCAAGTTTGGAGCACGCTTCTCCACGTGAGTAGATGAGAAACGCCAAGGAAAGCTGATGCAATTCTTGGTCAATTTATGAGCCAATTCTGAAGCGTTAAACGTTGGCAGTTTGTTGAGAATGGGTGCAGAAGGAATTTTACTGTTAGACATTCATGGCGGCCTCAGCTATCCTTTTACTAGTCTGCAAAACCTTATATCTCTATGATATTTGTGCTTTACTTCTGGAAGTCCGGAAGCTGAAGGGTCCTAGTGTGCCGTGAAGAAGTGAATTAAGGTTTCATTTCTCTATTGCTTTGTTGCCTAAACACTTTACATGCCTCCCCAATTAAATTATCAAAACCCTCAACGCGATGATCTGAGTAAAGTCTGCTTATTTCCTAATCATTTGAATATATCATCAGCTTTTTACTACTTTAACTATATACAATAACCACTACACCATCCTTATCTGCCATCAAAGCAAATAGATTATTTTATTGCAAACATGTAAAAACATGTTCACATCATAATATTCCTTTGGTATATCTACCTGGTGAACCTGAAGAACCACTTCTCCTTCTATAATATCCTTTACTTACGCTTTCACATTAATTAATAAAATCGTTACAATGACAAAACTTCACAAGATCTCTTTCTAAGAGGAGCCAAACATTCTTCGTTAAGTGGACTCGAAAAATTAATTATGTCGCCCTGTGAAATCATTCGAGTCGCTAAGTTACATCTGCAGCCAGTATCCCATCAAGCAGGCTGCCTGATCGCTCTTAAGCGGACTTTTGGAGAATTCGAATCTCCGACGAGCCCTTCAAACCGGGAGGTGGGGCACGACTCACCGTAGCGCACTAATTCAGGTTATTTATGTCTTTAGTAGAATCACTCTGGCTCAGCGATTTCACTGGCCAAGAGCGATTTCAAAATTATATTCTTGGGTCTCTCCTAAGGTCTCCCAATTCTTCCATCC